ACTTCACACGTTTGATAATAGTCCCGCCCTGAACACGTCTACATTACAATATTCAGATATAGTGATAGCGCCACCTACTGGCAACAGGAAGTAAGCGCTGCGTGGCTATTCATAGCTGATTTACGTGAAATTTTCATGTTGTGGTCCGCACGTGTAACGACGGCACGTGACACGGCCGCAGCACGCCCCGAATTGCGTGGAGTGCGAGGTCCCGCCCAACGCTGCTTGCAGCTTTAATTATTTTTATTTTTATTCCATGTTGGCTTCATATGTATACACAAAGTCCATCATTTTTCTGTTTTGGTACAGTGTGTAGGATTTTGTGACATTTAGAGGTTGAGGTTGCAGATTGCAACTCACTCGCTTCATCCTCCCCTTCCAAGCACAAGGGAGAAACTACAGTGGCCACAAAACGTGCGAAAAATGTGAACACCCCAGAGCTAGTTTAGAGCTAGTGGTTTGTCCTTCTGGGCCACTGTAGAAACATGGCGGTTCAACGTAGCAGACTCCATAGATAACATGGACTCCACCATGTTATTTATGGTGTAACCGGTCGTTTTAAGGTAACTTAAACAGAACTATTCTTATTTTCAGGTGATTCTACACTAATAGCTATAATACCCATGACCTTGAACTCACACTCAGCTCAGCTTTCTCAGTGCTAATGAAGGACCCAACCTTAAAATGGCTTCTTCCTAACCTAGTTACTCATTTTTCGAGGCATACTGAATTTTGATACCCAGCGCTAGAGACCAACAAAGGATATTTCAACATTACAAACAAAAAGAACTTGTAAAAAACAAAAGGAAGAAACTGCTAAAATGAAAATTATGTTGCAATCCTGGCAAAGTTAAAAACAGATTTTGGCACACAAACAAATTTGTGTGCCTTTGTGAGATACGTTAGTGTTCCATGTTAAGTCAGAGTTTCACAAACATAATTACGACCTATATGTTAACAATATTTACAAGTCTGAATTTGATAATTATGGTAACTCCCATATCCCATGAATGCAGAAATTGG